CTCTATGGTAAGCTAGAGCCACACGGGGCACTAGACCAAGATTGAATAGAAAGGGACATACACTTACCTGAAGGGCGGTTAACAGGGGGATGTTGTGGCCATCTTTGGAATCCAAGTTGCTGTGGGAACTTTCAGGGGAGGGAAAGGACCTGTGAAGATAAGGAGGACTCTGTTTTTACCACAGGAGAGGAAAGTTAACACTGTGCTTACCGAGGAAGTAAATTATTCCTCATGACACTGCTTGCATGTCCATTTGTGGACTGGGGAAGGGAGTCATAGAGAAATGACATAGATTTTTGAGGTCACCCAGCAGACAGTTGTGGGGTCAGCATCCCTGTGCGGTTAGGACTGCCTGGGGCCTGAACAGCCCCTGCAGCTGGCACCATCTCAGTCCTTGGTCTTCTTCACAAACTTCTCCATAATTCTCAATTGGGGTAGAGAAAGTAATATACAAATTTCAAAGCCCATGTTCTCCTATGATACACAGAAAGGGTGGAAACAACTAGATTTTTGTGATAGCTAATTTCTACAGTACTAAAGTATGTTGGCTTTTCCTGCTGCCTCCTTTGGGGGCTGCTTCATCCTTATTTGAAATCATGTTAATGCTGGATGCTGCAGTCCTGCCATCTGCGACCTTTACCTGCTCAACCAAGCACAAGCATTTGTATTTGGTTATATTTCTCAGCCTTGAAGGAGTGGCTTCTGGCAGGGCACAGCTTTCAAGGTTGCAGATGCTCAGCTTCACATGCTGCTGGTAAACTAAAGGCTTCCTTTTATGGGAGCAGGCGATTCATTGATTTTTGTCTTAATAGTGAAAGCAACCCCTTCAGCCCTTCTCTGTAATTTGCAAGCTCCGGTGCACCGAGCATTTTCCCCCTTGACTAAACCAGGTTATCAGGCTGACCTACTGTTCAGAGAGGTGGTGTGTATTCTACAAAGCAAAGCCCAAACTCTACATATGAAAAATCCTTTCTTTCTCTAAATATTGACAATAGGAACTTGATTTTCTTGCTTTCGTCTCACAGTGATATTTAGAGGAGACCGAAGTCCCCCCGGCAGAATATAGCACCTTTCTGTGTGGTTCAAACACAAGAGCAGGTTAGGATGTTATTGTGGCTTAGATTTAAGATGTTCCCCCCAAATCCCATATTTGGAAGTAGGGCGGGTCACTGCTGGCGTGATTTGAAAGGCTGTATTCTTGTCCCCAGCTCCTTCCTGCCCTTCCTGCTTCCTGGCCACCATAAAGTGAGTAGTTTTCCTTTGCCATGTTGTCCTCCTACATTAGATTTGGCTGAACGTAAACTGAGTCCACTGAAACTGTGAACCAAATAAACCTCTCCTCCTTTAAGGTGTGGGTGTCAGGTATTGTGCTCAACAACAAGAAAGCTGACTAGTATCGGGGTGGCTGTGGCAATGGAGTCTCTTGTTTACCTTGTCATTGTTGCTTATTTCTGTGGTCCTAATATCAAAGTTCATACTATTCTTTCACTTTTTACGTAAGGTTCAGATTCATTGGCTCTGACTAAAGACACACACATAATAGGTGTTTACCAAATATCTGTCAAACAAATTAATGTAAATTTTGCTACTTAGTGGAAGAGCTTTAGCAGATGCAATGCCGAGAAGCTTTGATCTTTTTTGTGAATGCCAGTAAATCATCACGGCTTCTGCGACTGGAATCATGGTATTCCCTCTGCAGGTACCATGGGTCAGGCGGACAAGCCAGTGGAGAGAAGCTTGACCCCTGTGCATGGGGCAGAGGAGTTCCCTGTCATAGGCCCCCACTGCTGTATGTGCACAATGACCTATCCACGAGAAGGTCACTCTCAAGGCTGCTCCAACACATTGAATGTAACTGAGAAACCAGTGTAGATGCTGAGGAGGCAAAGTGGAGGCCATGGGATAAACATCCAAAGCACTGTAGAACCCACCACAGGAGACTCCTCAGTCCCACACAGAGCCCACCCCCACATTATAGGCATCACTGTGTTTATTCCATTTCATGTCCATGGAGGGTCAGGAACAGCAGAGTAAGTGGGGTGGGGAGGGTGCTGCTGCCAGAGTGTGTGTGAGGTAGTAGTCATGATGGCTCCTCTGGATGGACACAGGTCATTGGTCAGTGCTGGTCACCTACAAGCCAGCCGAGGTCTGGGCACCCTTTTCCTTCACACTGCAGGTGGCCCATGGAAATATCATTGTTATATCTGCTAATGGAGACTCCCTACAACAGCCAAGAGTAAGGCCTCTGATGGACTGAAGAACATGGTTTCACTTTCTCCTGCTTGGGTAGGCTTTCTTTTTCTTCTAATTAAAAAATGGAGGGCCAGGGATATAGCTCAGTGGCACAAGTGCCTGCCTAGCAAGTGCAAGGTTCTGACTTTGATTCCTGGTACAAAAAAAAATAAAAAATGGAAAAAATAATTCTGCTCAGCGTGAGTAGTTTTAGAGATTTGGGATGGAATCACTTCTGTTTCTTTCTCAGAATCAATATTTCCTTTAATGAAAACATGAAGTTTCTACCTGTGTTTCTACCTGTGACCGAAAGTCAGCTTTCTGTCAACATCACACAATGCCCGAGATAATTAACTTATAAAGAGAAAAGGTTTTCTTTTCCCTCCCATATTTCCTGATTTTAGTCTGTGATTGGTTGGCTCCATGGCCTTGGTCCTCTGGAGAAGCAGGGCACCATGGTAGGGAACAAAGCTGCTCACCTCATGACAGACAGAAGGAGAGTGGGTCCCAGTCGCCTTCAAAGTCATGGCCCAAATGACCAAAATATCCTCTCCTTGGCCCCGTTTCCAAAAGATTCCACCATTTCCCACACCCCCTACCAATGGAGAACACTATGGAGCAGCTCTGAATAGGATTTAAAATCAACCAATTGGCTTTCTGTGTTTACTTGTGAGTCTGTCCAAAGTCTAGGCCCCTTACATGGAGGTGGGCAGCGGATTCATAGTAAGCAAAACTCTGTGAGTCACTGGTCCCTGCTGAGGCCTGTAGAGGCCTGTGATGTCTTGATGCCTCAAAGGACAAGACAAGAACAAGACAAGCTAAGGACACCTGGCTCCAACCCCAATTAACTAGATAAATACTGTAACCATAAGGCATCTCACTACTGCTATGAAAGTCTTCCTGGAGATAACATAGTTCTCCTGAATTAACATAAGCTATTGCTTGGAGAAGTCCTTGAATTGACTTCCAAGGTCCTGCTTAGATTTCAGTGCTTTCTTCAGTATCACCCTCCCTTGTTTGAAAACAAAATAAATGCAGGCCACCCAGGAAAGTTCCTTGTCTCAGCCTCCAGAGAATCTGAAATTCTTCTAGAAGATTTTGATCCTCCTGGAGTCCTAACGTCATACCACTTATCTCTTTTATTTAAGCCTTCACTGTCCACTTGTTTGGGAGGTTGTGGACCTGATCAGTCCACGATACTTTACCTTGAGGACCAACCCTTAACACATGGGCCACCTGAGGACACTTAAGATTCCAAAGACAGCAGCAGGCATGTACTGATTCCGTATCTTTTTCACCCCCTCTACTGACTGCAGACAGACAGGTGATCAGACTATGCTGCATTTGATTGTAAGTCTGTTTTTGAAACAGTTTGTTTCTTGGGTTTATTGCATAAACATGATGTAGTCAGTCATTGCCCAGGAGACTGAGCTAAGTTTCCAGCCACCTTCCCATCCCTCCAGGTCAGTCTGGCTGATATTATGTGGCTGACATTATCTGGCTGATAAATGTGGTCATCTTGGGATGGCCCTGTCCTAAGCCATCTTCTTAACTTAAACTCTCTAGGAGACCAAGTTTTCCTGCATTAGGATTAACTAGCAGGGCCCATCATAAATAACACATTCTTACTACTCAGAGAATTCAGAGGGCCTAGGGGCAATCTCCCAGTAGCTGGAGACAAAGGCTTGTCAAGTTCTTAACTGTGCTAGAGCAGCTGTGCTAGACTTTACTGCTGCAGTTCACTGATTCTGAATGCACACATTATTTTCACATTTTTACACCACTGAAAATGAGATTTTGCAGTTGTTGTTTATACAGTTGCTGTTGCCCTATAATAAGTTGTAGCATACTTATCAATCTCCCAGCTACACCTCAGAACTTGCAACATGGGTGTCAGATGCTCGGAAGAAAATACTGAGACAACAGCAGAGCATCCTTTTAAGAAATCCAATATCACCAAAGCTCTTGCTAGTACAAGAGACTGTGTGGCAAAACATTGACAATATTGCTGAGCACAGATATTCAGAAAAGTCGGTCTCTGAAGGAAGATGAAGAAATTTTAGGGACACCTTAACTGTGGTATGCAATTTGTTTCTGTTATAGCTTTTTTTCAATGCAAATACAAACCACTTTTTCCTCTTAGTAATATATACACAATGGTGCATCTTACAATTTATACTGCTATATTCAGTAAAATGTGTAGTTTCATAATTTTTTTTAGTACATCATGAATGTTTTTCCACATCAGAATAGTTCACATTTGCCGTGATATATATACTTCATTGCTTTGCTCTATCAGGATTTATTTAACTCATTCCCTACTATGACACACTGCATTCTTTCATTTCCACTATGGTAACAAAGGCTGACATGTGATTGGCATGCTTGTTCAATTGTTCAATTATGCATACTTGTTCAACTGTGTCGCTAGCATAAATTCCTAGAAGTGTAATTTGTGGGTCTCACTGTGTATGTGTCCAAACATGAAAAGCTGTCTCTAGCCAGCTCTCTCCAGCAGCAACAGGGTACAAGTTGCTCACCCTAAATGTTTTCTGTCAATCTCCTGCCACTACTGAACCCATCCCCCAGTATCTTGTTTCAGTTGATGTTTCAGTTCTTCATCAGTTTGGCCATTTTCCATTTTCAAAATATGCTATTAGACATTTATCTTTCTTAGATAAATTGCGTTTCTATTCTACTTTCTTTCTTTATTGAATTTCTTTTTTCTCATTTTTGTGATCATATTTTTCCCTTTTGAGGACTGGCTTTTAATCATGGCTTAATTACCTTTTAATTAACACGTTGTCATGTCATATCAAGACCAAAGAGAAACAGTTCCAGGTGGTGCCTCAGAGGGAATGGTCAGATGGGCAGTAATGCTGCCATGGGTGGTGCAGACAGACGGGGGTGGGGGGACGACTGGAGCACTATCACGGTCTGCATTCCCAGCTGGGACAGTGCATCCGAGGGAACCAGCAGTCCCAACCTGCTGAACAGCCAGGCCAGGGGCCCAGCCTGGGCGAGGACGGCAGCGGGGCCAGGTAGCATGCGGCTCCCAGCAGTGGAAGTGTTTTGACATCTGAGGGCCAGGCGCACTGTGTAGAAGTGGCCATGTGTTCCGTAGGAATTCAGAAGATCCCTGACAGTGCCAGCCTTTCCAGGAGGCCCCTGAGGCATCTCTCACCAGGCAGCTGCCATTGCTTCCTCCAGAAGGAACTCCCTGGCTGCATGTGGGGGGCACCTGGGCTTCCATACGGGATGTTTCGTTAGCAAGCATGGAGAGAGTGCGAAGCCCTCGGACAAGACAGTCCTTTCCTGGTGAGAAATTGCTCTTGGTGGCCTGAGTCATGGAGGTAAGCACCAGAAATCTTTGAAGGGGCCAAGAGAGGTCCAGACACCTCCTCACATCGGCAAAGTCAGACACCTCATTCTGTCCACACCACAGCCAAGTGCAGCTGAAGCTCTGCTCATTCCTGAAAATTGGTGATGTTCTTGCATTTTGAGACCTCTGCTTTCAATAAGACAAATTTGCATATGTCAAGGCAAAATAAGAAAAAAGAAGCTGGCATTTATTAAGGACCAATTATGTGCCAGACGCTGTGGTCAGCACTTTCCCATAGGTAGACACAACTATATGAGGAGCATGCATCCGAGACCAGTATTCGATCAATAAGAAAGTACTGTAAACATTGTACAGCACACAGTAGATGATGAGCAGTGTCTTTCCCCTCAAGGATTCAAAAGTGGAGGGAAAAACTAAGGGCGCTGATAACCAAGCACCTTTTCCCAACCCTTCAAATCAAATCACCAGAGGCTGGGAAGGTAGGGAGGACAGAGATTAGGGAAGGATTGGTTAACAGGTCCACAGATACAGTGAGATAGGGTTAAGCTTTAGTGTTCTATAGCACAGTAGTGTTATACTATAGTTAATAATAGCTTATTGTATATTGCAAAACAACTATAGTTTATTGAATATATTCTGTATATTTCAAGATAAACTTGATGCATATTATATAGAATAGAGAAATTTTAATGTTCCTAACACAAAGAAATGTTTGAGGTGATGTATATACTAAATATCTTGATTTGATCATTGTATATGTGTCAAAATACCACATGATACCCTCTGAATGTGTATGGTTACTGTATGTCCATTAAAAATTTTAGAATATCAAATCACACTTTTGCCTCTTCATATATTTATATGGAAAACCAAGCCAACATTTATATATATTTATATTGGTAATATAGTATCTTATAAATTTTCATATAAATTATATAGATAAGAGTTGGTTGCACAATACCCTAAGCTCCCTTTCATTTTGATAGATTTAGCCCTCTGGATGGTACGAAGGACCCAAAACTTTGGAAGGAAAGAAATGACACTTCTAGAGCACGCTCCTCTTAAATTTTCCACAACAGCAGAATGGTAAGAGTGTCACTGGAACAGATGTGTGTGTGTCTTCTCTCTCAGAGGGTGGCACGGAGCTCCTAGTACACCATGTGCTTGGTCCAAGTCTGCCTCGCGGACACTGGCAGGCAATATGGTATGTGCCTGGCCACTGAGATTGCTGCTGGCCTGGGGGTGGGATCAGGGTCTTGGACACTCTTGTGGGACCACTCACTGATCCTCCCATTACCATGGGGATGGGCCTGGGTGGAGGTGAGTGGGGGAAAGTTGAGAGCCCTCAGCACCAGTGGGTGCTTGCAGAGGACCACCAGGATGACTCTCCTTGAAAGAAGAGCAATTCTCTCCATTTTGGCTAAACCTGGCCCTATTTCTGTGTATTGATGATATGTGCAGAGCTGGCTACATTTCATCTTTATTCCCTCAATTGGCTTTAAGCAGTGCAAATGGGACTAGTGAGGTGCTGATGTGTAGTCTTTAAAGCAATGCGACAGGTCAGTATGCTCCACCTGTAGCTCCCAAGTATTATGTGTGAGCTAGGCTGAGTGATGCCACACTGTCGGCTGAGATAAAGGCTCGAGAAAAGAGGCTATGTATGACCTCTCAAGGCACGAAGATTACACATCAAAACTGAAGCACCAACCCCAAAACATTGGCTACTCCCTCAAACTGTGTTATGCAGATTAGTCTTTCTGCATCTCTCTCTGTGTCTGCATATTGCAGAGAACTACAGGCCTCCTACCCGGCCCAGCTCACAGGGTTCACATACTCCCCGCCATTCTCACAGCCACTCATCCCCAAGCCACTCCCCTTTTCATGAATTAATAAAACCCAGGTTCAGCCCTGGGCGGAGGCCTTTGTTCTGGTTAGCTGTTATTCTGACTGGACTTAGGACCCCCTTGGCTCCCCACAAATACAAATAGGCCTCAGTGTCTTTATTTTCGCTACGTGTTGCACTGGAGGTGGTAGATTGAAATTAATGTAGTAGAATTCCAACAACTTTTCCGTGGGATTACAAATATAAACTTCCTGGACTGTGACAGGGTCTGGGAGGGCTCTCTACTAATAGTACAGATATATTTCAATCTGTTTACAACTGGGATGGCCGTGCCAGAAGCTATCAGAGAAACAGCCCAGTTGGCAGAGCTCCTGAGCAGGATGACTGCTGGGATTAGAGAAGGGTAAAAGAAGGTTGATTTGAATAGACCTTGTAAGAAGCTAGGTCCTATGTGGAACTTTGGGTCACCTGCCCATGCTACAGATCACTCTTTCTTCCTCTTTTTCTCCCTCCCTTTCTCTCTCCCTATCTCCCTCCCTTCTTCCCTCTCGCTTTATCTCTCCCTCCCTTCCCGCTTTTTCTCTCCCCCCAACAGTGATCAGTTCTGATCTCTGCTACTTGTTTGACTTATTGTTTATATTCCATGTATATTTTCTCTAAATGTGTGCTCAGCCTTCTCAACTACATCACACCCTTGTGTTAGTCAGTTGCTGCTGCATAACAAATTACTCCAAAACTTGGCACCTTACTTCAACAAGTACTGATTATTTCCCATGTTTCCTGAGGACCAGGAATCTGAGATCAGCTTAGTAGAGGGGGCCTGGTGCCCCTCAGAGGAGGCATCTGAGCCTTTAGCCAGGGTTGCAGGCATCTGGATGTTGGGGCTGGAGAATTTGTTCCTAAGCTTGCTCAGGACTGTGGCAGACATGATTCCTCAGCTCCTCTCTTCCTCAGCTTGAGCACTCTCCCCAGGGTGGCATGGCAGTGGCTTCCATGAGCAGGTGAGCCAAGAAAGCAAGGCAGAGGCTGCCATGTCTTTGATATTCTGGGCCCAAAGTGAAACACCATCACTTCTGTCCTATTCCATGCTCCACTGTCAACCCTGCTATCCATGGGATCGGGCCACACAGGATGTGGCCATCAGGAGATTAGCCGACTCCTCTGAGGGACACAGGTCCTTACACATCTCTCTGTGACCAATGTTTGGCACATGTCCAGCTAGGTACAAAGTAGCCAGTGAGGTTTGTCAATGATAAACAGGTACTGGGATGAAAGGGAAAATACTTCTGTGGGTGACCCTGTCTGAAATGTTTCCTAATGCACACAATAGGTGCTGCATAATATTTTTACAAAGTTCTGCTGCTTTCATTTATATTGATGAAGTGAGCATTGAGCTGAAATGGAATATGATTAAATGTCTGGAGGAAGAATGGCAACGGGCCTGTTTTGGCTTGAGTGCATCCACCAGAAAGCCTGTGTCAGAAACTTGATCTCCAATGCAGCAGAGATGGTAAGTCAGGCCTGGGGAGGGGTCCATAAGGACAGGGGGCCAATCCACGTGCATAGGTGGGTCAGTGCTGTGTGTAAAGGGCTGAGGCTGCGAGATTGGTCTTTCTTGTGCCACCTCACCGTGGGATGCCTCCTGCAGGTTAGGATGGAGCACAGAGGCCCTCGCCAGATGCAGCCCCTCAACGCTGGCCTTCCCAGCCTCCAGAACCACAAGTCCTGAGTCTCTGTTCCCTGTAAATCACCCAGTCTGGGGTCCCTCATAGCAGCACAAAACAGACCAAGACAGGCTCAACTGTTTCCTTTCTCACCACCAGCAACCACCAGAAAGACAGCCCCTTACTAGAGAAAGATGAATCTCCCACAATTCTTCTTCTAAAAAAATACCCACATTATTCTAAATAGATTTAAGCTACACTTTTGTCTTTTTTTATTTTCAGGAAACTAAAAATGGACCCATTTAGGAAAATGATAAACCTACTCCAAGAGCAGTTAACCAAGGACTTATTTACATAGGCTCACATGAACTGAGCCTTTCCTAACTCCCAGCTCCTAGCTTCCTAAGTTCTAGGGAGTCCTTCATCTCTAAGGCAGGAAAAACGTAAGTATTCTTGGGGTGAGGTTGGTATTATAAAAATTCTTCATCATTTTCCCATTCTTTTTAAATATACAGCAAAATAAAATCAAGGTAAAAGTAATGACAGCTACCATTTATTGAGCTATATAATATACTCTGCACTCTACTTTTTATCTCTTTCCATATTCCACAGAGAAGGGGACATAAGACTAAGGTGTATGAAATAATTCCTCTGTGCTCCTAAGCATGCAACTACTCTAGGTGTCTCAACTACTGTGTCATCCAGCACAGTCTATAAAAATATTAATCTTGCTTCAAGAGCACATGACAATGAATTCTAGAGTTTACTGAACCTTTAAATGAGAAGTAACTGGGAGTTATATTTTAAGAATAACTTTTGGTAGATTGGATCTGGCCATTTACTGTTATGGACAAGATAACTATACACTGGACTGTCTCCTACTTGATAGTTGTTTTATCTCCACAGAATGTAACTTAAAGAACTGGTCTGAGCAACATAAATTGTTTTGAAAGTATTTTTTCATTGACACATAATATTCATACTTATTTATTAGGTATAATGTGCTGTTTTGATTCATTCATGTTTTGGGTAGTGATCAACTCAGGGTAATTAACATATCCAGTGCTTCAAGCAGCCAACGTGTCTTTATTGTGAGTACATCCCAATTTCTGTCTATTTTGAGATATAATGCATTATTGTTAATTATGTTTATTCTGCTGTGCCACAGAACACCAGAATATTTTCCTCCTATTGAACACTAATACTGCACCTGCTGACTGACCTGTCCCTTCTATCTATCCCCTTATCAAGACTCTATGTTTTTTTTTTTTTTTTCCAGTACCCTGGATCGAACTCACGACCTTGTGCTTGCCGGGCAGGCGCTGTGCCACTGAGCTAAATCCTCAGCCCCTATCCCCTTATCTATCCTCTCCCTATGCCCCCAGTCTCTGGTGACCACTATTCTAGTTGGCAAGATCTATTATTTATGAGTTCTCTTATGAGTAAGATCATGTAGTGTTTGTCTTTTATGCCTGGTTTATATAACTTAACATAATGTCCTGAAGGTCCAACTATGTTGTAGCAAAAGGTAGGATTTCCTGTTTTTTATGGCTGAACAGTATTCTGTTCTGTATTTTTACCACATTTCTTTGTTCATTTGCCCAAAGATGGACATTTAGGTTGATTCCGTATCCTGGCTGCTGTGAAAGAGCTGCAATAACTGTGGGAGTGCGGGGGTCTTTTCACCATGCTGATTTCATTTCCTTTGGGTATATCCCCCATAGTGGAATTACTGGATCATGCAGTAGACTTATTTCTAGTTCTTTTGAGGAATTTCCACATCATTCTCCAAAACAGCTATGCTGACTTACTCTCCTACCAACAGTGTATGAAGGTGGTCCTTTCTCCTCATCCTCACCAGCATTTAAAAAAAATAGCCACTTACACTGGGGTGAGGTTTTCATTTGCACTTCTCTAATGATCAACAATATTATTTTTATTATTATTATTATTTTTTTGTTTTTCTCCAGTACCGGGAACCGAACTCACAACCTTGCGCTTGCCAGGCAGGCACTTTTGCCGCTGAGCTAAATCCCCAGCCCCATGATCAACAATATTGAGCGTGTTTCATATATCTGTTGGCCATTTGTATGTCTTCTTTTGGAAAATGCTTATTGACATCTGTGGCCAATTGTTAAATTGGGTGATTTGTCTGCTTTTGAGCTGTTATTTAATAACTGCCCGCCCCTCCCTTGCTGAGCTGGTATTGTTAGGTTGAAATGTCGTAATGAAACTATAAAACCAATTGTCACCAGAGTTTGGCTTACAAGTGAGATTGTGGGTCAATGTGGACATATACAAAGTGAACCTAGAGAAGAAACAATGACAAACAAAAGTGAAAATGAGCATGTACTCATTAGCTCTGTCTAAACATAGCATCATAATGGACCAGGGTGTCCAAAGTTAAAAATGGCCACCTCATTAACTCTTTTTTTTTGTCTTTTGGAGACAGGGTCTCACTGTGCAGTTCAGGCTGGCCTTAAACTGACTTCATAGCCCAGACCGGTCTTGAACTTGCAACAATCCTCCTGCCTCTGCCTCCTGAGTTCTAGGATTATAAGAGTGCACCACCATGCCTGGCACTTCATTAACTCTTGACTAATAATTTAGTCTTTCATTCTTCAACAACTACTGCTCAGAGTGTACTGCATTTATGGTATACTCCAATTTCTAGGTGACTTATAATACTTCATGTACTGTAAGTGCTGTGTAAATAGTTGTTACAGCATATTGTTTAGGGAATAATGACAAGAACAATGTCTGTACATGATCAGTGCAGAGTAAGGTGGTAGTTTTGGCTGGCAGTTGGTTCCATCTGTAGATGCTGCACCCGTAGACATGCAGGGCTACAGGACTGTGTGCTGTAGGAATCCAGGTCTGAATGCTCTTCTGGGAAATGGCACCCTGCATGTGAGGAACCAGTGGAAGTGGCTGGAAAATGCTTGCCGAAAGGCTTTTCTGCTTGACCTGCTGAGGCCTTCTTGGCTGTTTCTGAGGAGTAAACCAATTCTGGAGGCTGAAGGGGGAGTGAAGAAGTCACTGCTGTCTGTTCTCCAGGACCCTGGAGCTACATCTATGACAGGGACAGTGTGTGGGGAAATGAGCTAGCTAAGGCCCATCTGCCTCCTGGAGAGGTCACCTCTGCAGCCCGAGAATGGGTACTAGGAGCTCCCTGGAGCCATTTCCTTGTGCATTCTGGTTTCCCAGTTATGGCTGAGAGGAGTGGAGAGAAAACTCTGGCCATTACTGACCTCATAATCATGTGGCAGCTCCAAGGTGGTCCATAGTCTACAAAGTAAACAGAAGCTTCCCTGGAGCAGCGTTGCCATGTGTAAGGCAGGCAGGGTGGCCGCGCAGTGTGTGGGCTTGGGAGTAGATGGGAAGGGGCATTTCTCAATGGCTGTGCACCCTCATATCTGGGGAGCTGGAGATGGATCACACAAGCGAGGGAGGCAAGCCACGTAAACAAACTGTCCCAGCTCGCAAACAAGTTGACATCAACCTCCTGAGTGTATAAATAAACACTCTGCAGTCCTCAGCCAGTTCCTTTCCTCCCAGCCAGAGAAAGAGCTCTACCTGACCTCAGTTTTCTGTCTCCTATCTTTGTTTCTCCAGCCTCTTGTTGCCCTGCTCCCTGGGAACTTTGAAAGCTGCTCTCAATGCAGCACTTGTACTAGTTCAACTCTGTGCCTCAGTCCCTCGTTTGCAAGATGAAGCAGCTATGATTCCCTGTCTCACTAGGCTGCTGGGAAACTCAAATGGGAAGATGCATTTGACAGACTTAGAGCAGCGTCAGCATACAGTAGGTGCCCAATGAATGTTGCTCAGGACTATTTCTCTACATGGCTGAGTGCATCTTAGTTACTCTGTACAACAGGGAACGAGGGATTATCTGATCCTGTATTGCAGATGACAAAACTCAATTTGGTCTTGTGGTGAGTAGGTGAATGTGGAGTGATTTGGCTCTAAGGCTGTCTGACTCTGGGAGTAAAAGTTGGAGATGATGCCTTGCCCCATAATGAGCCACAGGAGGGATTCTTAGGAGTCACAGGGCAGAAGGAAGGATGTAGAACTTGTTCCTAGACCAAGTGGACTTCACTTCTTCCTTACTTCCTTTCTCCTCTCTCCCTCCCTTCTTTCCCTCCTTCCTTCCTTGCTTCCTTCACTTATTCATCATTTATTCCATCATTTAGCACCTCTGAAGCATCTACTATGGCCAGATTTTTTACTGGGCACAGGTTAGGATGAGCTGTACAAATTCATTCCTGCCCTGAATGTGCAGCTGGTCAGTAAAGGCAGATGTTGATCACGCAGGGCTGCAAATGCCTAGATTCCCATGATAAGTGAAAGAAAGGCGAGGGATGGTACCAGAGCAGAGTGTGATCATCAGCTGTTGAGCTGAAATCTCAAGGGAGAGGAGTCAACAGGAGGCAGGGATGCCGGGAGAGAGGAAGGCCTTGGGGCTAGGGACTCAGGGGGCAGGGGTGCATGCATTGTCAAGGCACAAGGAGAAGGGCTGGGAGGCAGAAGGAATTGGTAGAGATGAGGCTAGAGAGACAGAGAGGCAGGCACTGGGCCAGTAGGGTTTCCTAAGCCTTACTAGGATCTGGGCTGAAAGATTTAAGTGGAAGGCTACAGGGATAATGCTTGGGTCTTTGGAAACTCCTTCCAGCTGATGTATATTAATCGATAACAATAACTCGCAACCTGCGGACCAACTACTGGCTGACGTGTGAAGGATGGGTTGGAAGGAGCACCGGCAGAAGTTTCGAGATCAGCACAGGTCTTCCACCTTCTGCTCGCCACATGCTCTGTGCACTGAAGCTTTCAGCATAAGGGAAAACACAGACATCTTGGGGCCCAGCAGGCTTCAAGCTCACGTCTCTCCTTCACTCCTGTGAGTTCTCTTCCCTCTCCTCTGCTCCGGCACCCGGTGGTCTCTCAGCGTCTCCCCTCATTCCTCCTGGCCAACTGTCTTCCCATCATTTGGCCCTTCCCCGTCTCTACCCACAGCCAGTAACTTCTTGTGATTAAAAAAAAAGACCTAAGATGGTCTTCTTGAAAATCCTTCTCCATCAACACTGAGCTCATATCTAAATTTGATGGGCGAGGGGGCTTATATTTCACTTTAGCATTTCTTGAATTGGATACATTTGAATCAATGATATTTAAAAAATATTAATGCAAAATATAAAAATACCTCTAAAATGAAACAGGAAAGTGTGATCCATGAGAAGCTCCTATGTACACCACACCCCCAGCCTGTAGTCTGTACCCTCCCATGGGCCACGTGGTCGTGTGTTTGATCATGGAGAATGACAAAGGAGCACATTCTTGAAATTGCTTCCCAGCTCTGCTCTGTCTTTGTGTCCTGATCTGGGGAGGCGAGGCCGGGTTACCATAAATACCCCCCCGCCCAGCCAGTATACTTCAGTTTGTTAGT